TGCAAGTGTACTTGCAATAACCTGTTCATTCTTTGGGGGCATGAAAAAAGATCGAGACAGGCTTGTAAAAAGGAAATGGGGTAGCCATATTCAGGTCTTGGCCCAAAGGCCTTAACGTTTGCAGGTTAGTTTGGTTTTGTTGGGAGGACATTTGGGACATGAAGGTCTCTCAGAGGCAAACTAACATGCTTCTTGAATGGAAAATCCTTTCAAATTGTCACCTGATAACGCAACTGAATTTAGCTTCCCAATGCAAGCAGCACCTTGTCCATCAAGGGGACAAAAGGTATTTTATCTGCTTGTTATATGCTTTTTTTAAAAAGTTTTTTTTATTGTGAAAATACTGTACAGAGGGGTTACAATCACATGAGCAAAGTAATGAGTACATTTCTTATCAAGCATTGTTGCCTCCTCCTTTGTTTTCCCCCTACCATCCCTTCCCTCCCATCTTCACAACTACATTCCTCCCCCACCCCAAATTGTAAAGTTCGTTTTTCGACATAGCGTCTTGTACATCTCATTGTTGCAATGGGTCCACCTGTATCCCGATTTAAACAATTTGTTTTTTCCCTTCCACTCCCCAAATTATACCAACATCAAATACAGTGAAAACAGTGGTTATACTGTGGGGAAGGGACATACAAAGCAACAAAAAAATCACATGGTACCTTATAAAAAGAGCATGTCAGAGTGCTCATAAGTCACCAATCTGGGGCTGGGAAGGTGGCTCAGTGGTAGAGCACTTGCCTTGCATACACGAGGCCCTGGGTTCGATTCCTCAGCACCACATAAGCAAAAAGAAAAAAGCCGGAAGTGGCGCTGTGGCTCACGTGGTAGAGCACTAGCCTTGAGCTGAAGAGCCGAGGGACAGTGCCCAGGCCCAGAGTTCAGGCCCCACGACCGGACTCCCTCCCCCCCTCAAAAAAAGAAAGTCTCCAATCTCAGACATTTTTGCATGTATTTACAAGTCTGTGACACTAGACAAGTGCTTGAACTCACAACATACTACAATTTCCTACCAATGCATTAGTCCAGTTTTGTTGCTATAATGAAGTACCGGAAGCAAGCTACTTATGAAGGAAATAAGGCTTATTTAATTCAGAGAGTTTCAAGAACATAGAAGTGCATTAGTGAGCTCTGGTGATGACCTGATTGTTGAATACAATGATTGGAATGTGAGAGAGAAAAAAATCAACATTGACAAACTGAAAAGAGGGCAGCTCAGGGGTCAAAACCTACTCCAGAGGACCACATTCATCTCGCAGGGCTGTGCTCCAATGACCTAAAAGCCTCACACTATGCTCCTCCCCTTAAAGGTCCAATCATCTCCAATACTGCCACACTGGGAACCAAGTCTTTAAATAAAGACCTTTAAGTACACTCTCAAGACCTACCATCATGAAATGTTTGAGGTTTTCAAAAGCAAAGGCATCTTTTTCCGTGTGTATGTGTGTGTGATATATATAATCTACAAGTGTTTCCACAAAATTAAAAATCTAAGGTCTAGGACTATAGCTCAGTGTTAGGAGGCCATGGGTTCAATCCCTAGACCACTCCCATTTTCCAAAACAAAGAAATATGAAAAAAATTCTTGTTGAATATCCCTTTGTTACTGGCTTAAAATTTTTTTTTCAGTTTGAAATCCAAGTTAAAATATCATTCATTTGGAGACCGTTCCAATTCTTCACTGATTTTCAGTGAAATTTTCTATATGAAACTTTTGTTCTGATGTGAATTTCTTACTCCTTCTACCTTGCAATTATCCGAATGACACATTATTGAAAATTTAAAATAAAAATATACAGTTTTAAGACTTCTTCCTGTGTAGATGACTATTCAAAAAATTTCAGGTATTTTCTGTTGTTCTTTACATGCTTAAAACAGTATGTTATAGACATCTTTCCATCTGGACAATTTCACATTTGTAGTCTTCCTTTTGACTCACTTAAATAGCATTGTCATGGTTTACTATAAGGATTACACTAATTCCCAAATTGCACATGGTACAATTTACACTTCACAATGTCCCCTGAGAATAATATAGAAAACCAGATTACAACTTGGGATGGGTAGAATGATAATTATAGTTGCATGTCTTCCTTACTAACCAACACATTTTACTATCTGAGTTCATTATCTTCAAATCACCCAGTAATCAATGCCCATCTGTTTTATTACAGTCACAAATAAGAAAACAGCTCGACCAAGGGGAAGGCACAATCCGATCTCGGTCATTCATCTTTAAGTAGATCTTTCTTGCCGAGGAGGGCTCGGACTGGGCAGAGAGGAACGCTCCTGGTGCTGTGGTCCATGGGAGGCTTCAGATGCAAGCTCACTAAGGATTTTCTTTTAAAAAATACATCAAAGCAGATGGTGACTGGGAACATAAATAGTGTTTACAAGACTCATGGAAAGCAGCTGTCCTTGACAATGTCTCCTTGAAACCACCCTGCAATGCTTGCGGTTCTGATGGAAACTGATTAACTACCACTCTGAGGTCTGCTGTGGCTCAAAGCGCACCACACAGAACCAAGTACCTTTGTTGTCACTCAGGGTGTCCCAAGGTTGTTGACATTAGTTGCCCCCAAGTCACTGGGTCAGCAAAACTAATCTCCAGGCTGTGCTGTGAAGCAGGAAGTAAATAGCCTTTACTGGGGAGGTTCAGACCGCTTTATGAAATGTATTGAGATAACAAACATCAAGGATTTCCAAATGAGAGGTTGTTTTTGTTCAAATACAAAAGCCCAAAGTTTCCAAACTAAAAGAGAAAGGTTTGCTGCATTCATTTTTCTCCTTTTAAAAAGCTTAGAAGTCTTTCACTTCTAATGATAATACTATGTATGAAGTAACTGCCCTGTGGACTGTTAGGACAATAAAGGAAAATGAATGCACAATTTTTAATGCGTTTTTTACAATTAAGTGCTTTTTAAGAGCTTTCTTTACCACTTTGGTGAAATGTTTTCAAGAGTAAGAAAAAATTCAAGCATCACTCCTATAATTGTAGCTACTTAGGAGGCTGAGATCTAAGGCTTTCTCAGTTCAAAGCCAGCAAAGGCAGCAAAGTCTGAGACTCATCGCCTATTAACCAGTAAAAAGCTGGAAGCAAAGTTGTGGCTCAAGAGGTAGTGTGATAGCCTTGGGCAAAAAAAAAGTCTAGGGGCAGCACCCTGGCCCTGAGTTCAATAACTTAATAAAATTTTAATAAGCGTACTTGTAAGCACTAAGTTATCTTTTCCTGGCATTTCTCCACATGTATTGAAAAAGAATTCTGAAAACAACAACAACAAAAAAACTGTGTTATAACCTTGTCCTCAGAATTAGCTCTGTAAGGTTAACTCTATCAGCATACAGGCCTGCCTTACTAAAGAGCAACATTGGGAGGAAGTAACACTAAACATGTACATGAAATACAAACACCACACTGCATAGCCTTTGCAAACCAGAGTAGGAAGACTGAAATGGGAATGGAATACTGGTGTCCAATGTTTATGAACAGATTCTCTATTAATACTGTTTTTAAAGGTCTGAAGGGAGAGAAAAAGTAACACACACACACACACACACACACAAACCCCCAAGAATTAGAATTCAAGGCTAAAATACTGTTCTTTAGGTGCAAAGGGATAATGTGTTAGCTTTGTCAGTCACTGCAACCAAAATACCTGAGAGACCACGTTAAAGGGAGGTACTGTTTATTTTGGCTTCTTCTTTTGGAGGTTTCAGACCATGGCAGGAGGTGGGAACATGGTAGATCAGAACAGCGCTCACTGTGGTAGTCAGGAAGCAGACCAGAGACAAGGACACAGGAGAGGCAAGAGCAAGACACAGACCACTAGTGACCTGGTTCTTTCAACTGGGCTCACCTTTCACAGTCCCAACAGTCTACACAAATTTTGAATCCACTGATGGATTAGACCACTGTTTAGGTCAAAGTCCTTCAGTTCTAATCATCTGCCTCAGAGATACACCCAGTGGTGTACTTTACTACCCCAGTAGTGTTTCTATATCCAATCAAATGGACAAGCAAGATTAACCGTCACAGATGCCTTGCCAAAGAACTTCCTTGTATTATCTAAACATCTAGGCCAGAAACTCCAGTACATTTCTGTCTATTTCAACAGGGCTTTCCAGCTGGGGATGTGGGTCCAGTGGTAAAGCACTTGCCTGCCAATCACATGGTGCTGACTCAATCACTTCCTAGCACCACAAAAGGTTTTCAAATGTATCTTGGTACAGTTTGTATTATATGTAATAATGCAAATGTCAAGTTGATGGTGTAAGGTTTGCAAAAGGAAGAAGTTACAAATAAGCCCTTCTTGAGATGGATGGTTTGGTTTTATTGTCTTAGAAACACTGGTGTTTTTTGTGTATGTAGGGTAATAATTGTTTTGCCATTCTGTAAAATACGTTTATTTATACTCTTGCTTCTGTTTAGCAAATAAAAAACTTAATTTTGCCCACAAAATTGCTGTTCAAACATCTTATTATTTGTCATTTAAAAGAAATAGCCTGATTAATACCATAAATAACAACAGTGCTTCAAACTAGGAGCCACAAAGGATCAGAAATTGAAAAAATTATACTCTAGTTCTTAATTTCACAGTGGCATTTCACCCTCCATATATTAAACTTTCATCAGAATAAACTTCCCCCATTGCCCTTTCCACATAACTCCTACACTTCTATTATTCAAAATTGGGCTGTTTCTTATACAGTCTATGATAGAGGATGACATTTCATTTTTTAAAACTTTCTGACCTACCAGAGTCTGAAATTTTGTAAAATTCAATAAAAATTATTAGAAAAATGAAATAAAAGATACAAGTATCACAATCCCTTTTTTATTATGAGATTTAAGATATCAAAAATTACCTTGTGTCAAACTGGTAGGTTGTTCTTTAAAAAAAAAAATCAGCTTGCACTTGCTAAGAACCATGTTCAGAACAGCCCAAGCAGTGGGCTACATCTTGAATAGCACAGGTCTAGCTAACTGGCAGGTAAAAGAAGTGTCTTGCAAAGGAATCTACCTGAAGGTGGACAGACTTGGGATGCAAATGTTTTGTTAGGGAATATGGATTGCCCAGGCCAGACCTTGATTTTTGGATTATCTCAGCTTATAGCTTAAAGTCTATACAATTACTGCCATCTGCAAATAAAAACTGGGTCACGTCATCCCTAAAATACCTTCCTATTTCATGCATTATATTGTTGGGAACAAGTTCCAGAACATCATTAAGTAATAATATCAATAAATAATAATACATAAAAATAATGGGAATTCTAGACTTTTACAGGTGTGTCTAATGTTTATTAGGTTGTAGCAATTTATGTTTACAGCGCCCAGCATATAAAACACCATCTCCTGTACTTTTTTTTGTAACTGTTTCTAATTTTATGCTTATTTTGTACTCTAGGTACCTTCTGTACAGCTTTACCATAAATCTTTCTATACTTTCTTCCTTTACTAAACTGGTAGTTCTTTAAGGGAAGACAGTAGCACAATTACTCTTATTTGTATAGAAAAGTGGCATGTTTGGTTGACTTTCTCATTACCAACCACTAGGGACACCAATCCCATAGTGAAAGCAGCCCTGGAGCACAGAACCACCATGTGAACAGTATTGAAGACTGTACTATGCTAGCACTGAAGACTGTGTACTATGCTAGCACTGAAGACTGTACTATGCTAGCACTGAAGACTGTGTACTATGCTAGCACTGAAGACTGTACTATGCTAGCACTGAAGACTGTGTACTATGCTAGCACTGGTGATCACACAGAAGGTGCTCGATGCGTATATACTGAATTAACAGGAGACAAACTGCCAAAGAATCTAGGAGGAAAGTAACCGCTGGAATGATCTAAGGACTGCATTCCTGAGCCTAAAATATATTCTAGAACTGTGAAGTTAGGCCCAAAATGAGGTTTATGTTCTGACATTATACAAAAAGAGTAAAACAATCTCCAAACAAATTCCTACAAGAAACATTCAAGACTCATTATGTGGTTGAAAGTGGATAAAGTCAATTAAGTCTATAAAACACCTTGGTAGAAGGCTGAAATGAAAAAGATCTGTACAGTGCTCAAACTATTTTTAAAAATACTATTTTATTTATACCCATGTATGAAAAAATGGCTAAAACTATCACATTTATATACATACTGAAAACAGGATTCAGTACCAAGTCATATTTAAATTCTATAAAGAACAATCATTAAAACACTGATTGGTTATAGGGAGCAGAGTAGGAAGAAAAGAGTAAGCTATAATTTTCCTTTTCATTAAAGAGAAGCACCCTCTGAAAAAACTCATTAGTGACACATATCTACACTGCAAAGTAAATATATATAAAGTTAGTGATTGTACTGATTTTATTACTTTTACTAAGCCATTTTATCTTCTCATACTCAGTGCAAATAAAACACAACAGAAGAAAAATATGTCCTTGTTATTATTCACAATAAGAGGGTCTGCTGTGCCCTTGCAGTCTGGGAGTCCTGAATGATAGAGAGCACTCGCTGGCTCATGTGGACCAATGCACCATTTTGATTCTGATCCACTGAACAGGATCCCATCCGTATGTGGCGACTGCACTAACTCCACAGGAGCTGTGACAGACTGAACCAGTTCAGATTATCCCCATTATCCCCAGATCTTGCTAAAGAAAAGACTTTACAAAGTAAATGTAATACCTGATCTGTCTATAAATTACACCTACAGGCTGATTCTTTAGTATAAGGTGGAAAAAGGGGTTCTTTCTTACATACATACAAAGTATTACTGTTGTCTAAAGATTGCTAGATTGACTTGTGTTTTTATAACAAGATAAGGTATACATCAAAACCATCGTAAGATTAAGAAACTTCCACAACTTTGATCAATTCTTCAAACAATGGAGCAAGTTCCTTTTCTAGGCTGACAATTAGCCCTAAAACAAAGAGATTTAAAATATGTATTAGAAACATTTCCCTGAAAGTCATTTTAGGCTCTTGTCCAAAATTTAATTACTAGTTTGTTCCCAACATCAAAAATGAGATACTATAATTCTGAGTAAAGCAGGCAAAATTATGAAGCTTATTTTCATAATCTATTATTAAAGGAGATGGATGACTGCCTAGCAAGTCAGTATTGCCAAATTAAAAAAAAGTAAATTGACAAACTATAAGCCTCTGTTTTAGTAGAAACAGAAGGATTTACACGTATATAATAATTTGTTAAGGGGTTTGAAAGCAAAATCATCTCACTTTCAAAATATGCATTAGTTCAGGGTACATACGATTTTTATAAACATACTTTTCAAAGCAAATTTTAACCCTGTATCAAGAAGTGAATCAGTTTTTCTCAATATTGAGCAAATAAAATCAGAAAATTATAATTTTGACAAATCTAAAACAAAAATGGGTCATTCAAATGAACAAGAAAATATTGAATGGTAGAGTATAAAACATATTTACATATATAAAAGGAAGATTAATAATGAATCTATGACAAACAATAGAAATTAGTGTATCTACCTTCTTCTAAGTTGACCAGAGTGAAAGTTATATTCCTTAGTGTTCTTTGTTCCAAATAATAAAGATCTTCCTCTGTTTTACAGTATTGAAAAACATTTAGACTGTCAAGGGAGGGTTCTATAGACTACAATGTACTTCTGAATATTCCCATAGTACATAACAGCTAGTGATTTAATACATGATGATCAGGGTGAGCTTCATCCCAATGTCAGTACAATTTGTATACAATTTGCCCATGTCATCAAATATAAACCAATTTTTTGAAACTTAGGTATGAAAAGTGGTCTTCAGTGACCTACTTAGCTTAAAGACACAAAGTAGAAGGAATTTGTCATAGCTCTCAACTCAATGTGAAAGTGACAGATCTCTAAAGAAAAAATCCTACTTTGTCTAAGAGGAAGCAAATGTACTACCACAATACAATTGAATACTGTCATCTTTTACACACAAATCCCCAAGAAGGGGGAGAGAATGAGATTTTACTATCACCAGAAAACTGGAAGTGGTGCTGTGGCTCAAAGTAGTAGCGACAGAGCCTAGACGCTGAGCCTAGATGCTGAGCTCAAACACCACAACTAGGATCACTCAAAATAACATTGTATTTCCCTTGTTCCTATTTCAAAAAGATGTCCATACATTGTCTCATCAACTGGAAATAGGCCCATGAGATGGAGAAAGCAAGTATTACTCCATTTTCTAGCTATATAACCAGGAAGATGGAGAAAAGCCACACATTCAAACTTTCTCACAGCATATCTATTATTATACCAGATAATAGGGTAATGTAAAGAATTAACAGCTGTACTTAAAGTTATTAAAACATACCTGTGTTGGCATTGCTACTGGCTATGAAACTCACCACAAGAGGTAAACGATTGAACTGAACTACCTAAAAAGAAAGTAAGATGTAATTAACATGTTATATTGTGAAAAGGTAATATTACCTACTTGAAATTTTTTTAGTCTTTCAGAAACTTTTAAATAGCCATCATTATTAGTCTAAAATAATGGTATTACACCACGAAATATGAAGACGTTGAAGGCAAGCACTTTCCTAAAACAGAAATACTGAAAGTGGAATCATGTCTGCTTTTTCTTTTAAGCTCTAAAGCCATGTGTCAGTTTATATAGTAAAGGTCAACGATAGTCCGTCCAAATGTGTTGAATAGAAAATTCTAGATATGATTCCTAAGTTTTAAATCACACGGCACTCAGTATGAGAAACACTGTGCTGTGAGTTCTCCTTTGGTATATTTATACCGCATATGCTGTTAAGACACATTAGCCACTTGGCAGCCACCTTGGTTATCAGAATAACTGTCACAGCATTGCAGGGCTGTGTTCAAGTCACCCTTATTAATAATGGCATGCAAGTACAGGAAGAGTATCCAGCACATATATTTATATCCAGCACATATACAGCCACAAAGCTCCTTTAAGTGACAATTCTCAATAAGAAAATAAAAATCCTATGCCAAGGATGCTAAAATCTGTTATTGGTAAATTTCTTATTGTAACCCAGTTTCAAAATCAAACTTTACCATAAGTTTGTAAGTGTAGGAAAAAAACAGTACGTTAGATTTGATACCATCTGAGTTGTAGGCATCCATTGGGGTCTAGAACAAATCCCCCATGAATAAAGGGGAGCTAGGACAGCTTTATCTTCCATGTGTCATTATGAATTAAGTATCTAAACAACTTCAACCTAATTCTTATGGTAAAGTCAGTTTGGTTTCTTATTACATGTTAAAAATATCTAACTTAAAAAAGAAATTGTCACTATATATTATCAGTGGTACACTCCAAAAAATGTCACTTTAAAGAAAAGGGATCACAAGCCTCGCATCAGAGGCTCACGCCTGTAATCCTAGCTACTCAGAAGGCTGAGATCTGAGGATCACGGTTCAAAGCCAGCCCGGACTGGAAAGTCTGAGACAGACTCTTATCTCCAAGCTCAAGTGGTAGAGTGCTAGCCTTGAGCTGAAGAGCTGAGGGCCAGCACCCAGGCCCAGAGTTCAAGCCCACAAAAAGAAAAGAAAAAAGAAAAAGGATGCCATTCTTCTAAGAACACGTGGCTAGAGATCAAGAGATAATCTAATAATTCACTTCTTCCTCACAAATAAAAACCTCGTTTGTTATAGATGCATTCCAAACAAAATAAACAATAATTTTAAGTAGTCTGTCATCTGACTCTCAAAAAAATGTTTTATCTGCCACAATAAGAGTGTGGCCTTTGAGAATCTATTGTCTGAAATCTCATCAGCAGGTAACGGCACCATCTGCTGGAGTGAATGGAGTGCTAACTAACCCTTCTTAGGATATTATGTACTTTACTTTGAAGTCTCTTAAGTACTTTTCCATAGAAACAAAGAAAATCACCCATTTTAGCATAATCAATTTCAAGGCTAAAATTTTAAACTTTCATCCTTTCGAAAGTTAAAATTTAGAATTGTAACAAAAGCTTTTTTGCATTAAGGATATAAAAATAGTAACTGAAATAAGCAAATCATCTAATAATTATGAACTTACCTGGTAGGTGTTATAGTAACAGATGATGCTTTTATTCTTTGAAAGTCCAAGTTTGCTCCCTTGGTCTGTTGCAAGGGCAAAAGTAGAGAGGAAACCAGGTCGCAAAGCATGTTCGGGAGCATTATCATTAGCCACTGGAAGAGTAAATGATTTAAATAAAAATTATACTGAGAAGATGATAGAGACAAGTTTAAGGACATCTTTATTAAAAATAAGCACAACATTCGGTTTCACAATATTGAAGTCACGATATCCAACTCATTGGATCTCATCAATTTAAATCGGAAGTTTAGTAATTAGGAGCATGAATATAGCTCAGTGATAGAATACTTGCTTATTATGTGCAACAGCTTTAGTTTCTATCTCTGGCATGACAAACCAAATGAAATTATTTAATCTATGATAATATAATAATTGTTACAATATCTCAATATAACTAAGACTATCTATGCTGATCATACCAGAAGGTGGAAATAATGAATATACTGAGTCTACATTTATCCTGTAATATCATGTATACTTAACAATAATAAAAGCTGAAAATCAGGCAAAAACTTATTGGATTCTGGTCAACTAAGTAATTCTGATTATATATAAAAGGTTTTAGACACTGAAATACCACCTCACTCTAGCCAGGGTAGCTATCATCAAGCATACAACAAATGTTGGCAAGGATATGGGAAAAAGGAACACGAATAAATTGTTGGTAGGAATATAAACTAGTGTAATCACTATGGAAATCAGTATACAGGTTCCTCAAAAATCTAAAATGAGAACTATCTTATGATACTAAAATACCACTCTTCAGTCATTTGTTCAAAGGAACATAAGTCAGGATATAACAGAGGAACCTACATGTTCATGGTCATTGCAGCACTATTCACAATAGCCAAGCTAGGAAACAGCACAGACGCCCTACAACTGAGAAATAAAGAAATTTTGTATATGTACGTGTATGCATACACAATGAAGTACTATATATCCCTAAACAATAATGAAGTTATGTCATTTTCAGGAAAATGGATGGATCTGTAATCTATCATATTAAGTGAAGCCAGGTTCAAGAAGACAAAAGTCACATGGTTTCCCTTATATGTGATACCAGACCTAAAATATAAACATATACCTAGCACTTACAGGAAATGTATGTGTATGTGCTTATTATCAAAATGCAGTATAAACGTGTGAAGAGAGAACATGGAAACAGTAAGATGGACTTGGGAAGAGAGAGGGGTTAGGAAGAATGATGGAGGGGGTGACTAAAATCAAGATGTATGCAAAGATGGACATGTTAAAATGAAAGTCCCTTATATAACTATATAAACATTATATTATATACTTACATAAACATTTAAAAAATTGATTTAAGAAAGTGAAACAGTATATGATGAACCAAATAAGAGAGCCATCCTAAAACTACTTGCAATATTAACTTTAAAATATACACATTTATATACAAACAACACACACACAGGTAATGGTACACGGATATAACATGTATCTCTCTACCTATCTGCTCATTTTCATCACCTAGATATAGGTTTATATTATACCGTATTAAACCTAGATGGTTTATATTATACCATAAATATGTTCAATAGAAACCTGGGCCTGTGGGGCTGGGAAGGTGGCTCAGTGGTAGAGCACTTGCCTTGCATGCATGAGGCCCTGGGTTCGATTCCTCAGCACCACATAAGCAAAAAGAAAAAAGCCAGAAGTGGTGCTCTGGCTCAAGTGGTAGAGCGCTAGCCTTGAGCTGAAGAGCTGAGGGACAGCGCCCAGGCCCAGAGTTCAGGCCCCACGACTGGACCCCCCCCCCCCCAAAAAAAAAGAAAAAAAAGAAACCTGGGCCTGTAATAAATCTAATGAATCTGAAATTCTAGAAGCAAACAATTCCTTCAAAACCATGAATATCTTTGTTAAATAAGGATGATATTCTTGCCTTTTGCACTACCTAGATGTAAATGCACACTTTTTTAGCTCAAAGCAAACAAGATCTTTGCATTTAGGTACTCGGCTTTACCTTTGATAACAGGTACTCCATCTCTATCCGACACAACAATAGCATGGAGTCCTTCAACACTACAAAGACAAAAAGTTAAATATAATAAAATAGTTCATTTTCTTAAAGAATGTTCCTCAGAATTATAATGGTAATTCTTATGCACATTTCTGTAAAACTATCAGATAACAATTATTTATAATTATGCTTTTGTAACTCAAATGAAACAAATGTATATTGCAGATTGACACTACTTTTTTCAGAGGTATACAGTTTACTGATGAAGATCTAAAAACATCATTATTTTGCACTAAAATTGTTAATCCCATGATTGCCAAAAACAGACATTGTTAATCCCATGATTGCCAAAAACAGACAAAGTTACTGACAGTGGTTATAGTGACAGAAAACCAGAGAAAAAGTGTGTGTGTGTGTATGTGTGTGTGTGTGTGTGTGTGTGTAGAGAGAACCTTTTTCCTTTTTTCTCATTCTTTCCAATACTGAGTGCCTAGTATTTACAGCACTTGATACTTCATGATGCTCTGATAAGCAAAAACCATCACTGACTTCACAAAATTTACCATCTAAGCTGAATGCCTATCAACGGAATGATTGCATGATAACAAAGGTAAGGCTACAGCTGTGGGAAAGTGCCATTATGAGATCCATGGGAACATGAGAGGCTACAAAAGAGGGGATTGAGGCAGGCAGCTGGGTCAGAGAAGGCTTCCCCAGAAGGTGCTATCTCAGCAGAGATCTTATGGCAGCCAGTAATAGAAGAAGAGTGGGAAGATCATTCTAGGCTATCGCAACATGTTGGGCAGCAAGAAGGAAAGCCCTCGGCTGCACTTACACAACAAGCATTAGGTTGAAATGGTCAAAGCTGTGAAGTTAGAAAGACCTAATGTTTAGGCTCAGCTGCATAATGCTTGTAAAGCATATGCTGGTAAAAGTTATGTCAAAGCTGTGAAGTTAGAAAGACCTAATGTCTAGGCTCAGCTGCATAATGCTTGTAAAGCATAGGCTGGTAACAGTAGTGGTTTCAATTGTGGATACTGACAATGACATAATTTATCACTGCACTTTAAGCACTAAACCATCAATGTAGTTAAACACAACAGTTTAAGTAGTTGGAAAATTAGTGGTTAAGAAATATACACTTCAGGGGCTGGGAAGGTGGCTCAGTGGTAGAGCGCTTGCCTTGCATGCTCGAGGCCCTGGGTTTGATTCCTCAGCACCACATAAGCAAAAAGAAAAAAAGCCAGAAGTGGCGCTGTGGCTCAAGTGGTAGAGTGCTAGCCTTGAGCTGAAGAGCTGAGGGACAGCGCCCAGGCCCAGAGTTCAGGCCCCACGACCGGACCCAAAAAAAAAAAAGAAATATACACTTCAGAATTCAATGTGTTAACAACCACAATGAGGAAATATTTCCCCAAATTTAGTACTTACACAAAGCCTTTTTAATTATCTGTAAAGCACAACTCAGAGATTTTTATTTATTTGTTTTTTTGTTGGTCACTGGGCTTGAACTCTGGACCTGGGCACTGCTCCTGAGTTTTTCAGCTCAAGGCTAATACTCTACCACTTTGAGCCATAGCACCACGTCTGCTTTTTCTGGTGGTTAAGTGGAGATCAAGAGTTTCACAGACTTTCCTGACTGGTCTGGCTTTGAATCACAATCCTCAGATCTCAGACTCCAAAGTAACTAGGCACCCAGCTCTCAGAGCTGTTTAATGCTCCTACTATATCCTGGATTTACACCTTCCTGTGTCTGCCTTAATGTTTTAACTTAAAGCAGTATCTGCACAATTCATATTTACATGTTAGTTTGCTGAAATTAAATTTAAAAAAAAAATCCTAATCACCAGGTATTAGTGGCTCATGCCAGTACTCCCAGCTACTCAAGTGGCTGAGAGCTGAGGATCAAGATTCAGTTCCAGCCCAGGCAAGAAAGTCTCTGAGACAATCTCAAATTAACCACCAGAAAGCTAGAAGCAGAGGTGTGGCTCAAGTAGAAGAGGACCAGCCTTAAGCAAAAAAGCTCAGAGACAGTGCCCAAGCTCCAAGTTCAAGCCCTAGGAGACACACACACACACACGCATGCACGCACGCACGCGCAAGCTAACAAATAAACTATAATGGACTCAGTCAATATGAAAAAAGAAAAGTTCCTTTTCTGCCATTACATTTTTCCAAATATCTTCTCTTTTTCTTCTTGTGGTGGTAGGGATCAAAACCTTACATGTGCTTGGCAAGTGGTCTACCACTAAGCAGGTAGCTAAACTTTACAATACTCTTAAATTGAATCTATCTCTTGGATTAGCACAACCTACATGATTTCCCCCTTTCATTTAAAAGATAAAACATCATGAAGAAACAAGAATTTATTTTCAACTATTTTTATTAAACATTAGAGCTACTCAAATAGGCAGGACAAGAACATAGGGAAAACAAGTTTTATTGACATAAATGAGAAAAATGGTTGTGATGAAATTGTCCCAGAGAAAGTGACACTGACATAAAGAATGTACATTAAGCGAAATCTAGGAGCTATTTCACAACATCAATACACAGAATTAGTATCAGCTTTCATTCCTCTATGTTAACTCCAAGTTTAAATGTTTTGAAAAGTTTCAAAGATCTGAAGACAAATGTTATTTTCCCCCACTGATTACTAAAATTCCTTTGCAGTTTCAACTTTTAAGGTCATTTCTATGGTTCTAAATCAGTTATGACTATCTTACTCCTGATTTTTAGAATTAGTTTGTCTATAATTTGACAATTTTAGGAAGAGACTATAAATAAGCATGACATTAACATGAAATCAATAATAACTATTCACATACTTCAAGTTTTCCTATTCAAAACAGAAGAAACATATGTAATAATAAAACTATAAAATAGTATCATTAATTTCCAGTGATCTGTAATCAGTGTAAAGACACAGCTAATAGGTAAAGCACAAAAAAATAAGTCAAGCAAAAATCCAAACAAGGGATGTTCCCCGCTGTAATCCCAGCTACCTGGGAGAGACAGAATGGGGGTCCAAGGCTAGCCTGGGCCAAAGTATAAGACATTGTCTAAAAAATAGCTAAAGTAATAAATGCTAGGGGTATCAAGGGGCAGTCTAGAAAGACACATCTGAGAGACTTGTATCCCTAGATAACTAGCAAAAAAAAGAAGCAGAAGTGATGAAAGTGGTAGAGAGGGTCATGAGTGGAAAAGCGAGCAAAAAAGTTGAGTGTGAGAAAAAAAAGTGAATCAAGAGCTCTCCAGGACTTGAAATTAAGCCATAGTACTGGAAGGGGAAAACAAACAGGGTGTCTCTTAAATTGTAGAATTCTTGCCTAACAAGCATGAGGCTCTGTATTCAAATCTCATTACTGCAAAGGAAGAAGTTTTTCTTTCCTTACTATAAAAATAAACTAATGTCCACAACCTTGTATATAGTTTCACATGTGGAAAATAAGAAAAAAGGATCTCATCAATATCATTCTGCTTTATTATCTCAACATTTATTCAATTGAATTCTGAACCATTTCATCTTGGAATGTGAAAATGCATGCTTTAAGCATTTTTTTTGTTGTTTTGATTTGTTGGTCATGGGACCTTAACTCTGGGCTGGGGGCTGCTCCTCAGGATTTCAGCTCAAGGCTAACACTCTACCACTTGAGCCACAGTGCCACTTCCAGCTTTTTCTGATTCTGTAGTGCTGAGGAATCGAACCCAGGGCCTTGAGCATGCAAGGGAAGCACTCTATCACTGAGCCACCCTCCCAGCTCCGATGCTTCAAGTTTTACATCTCTCTTTCATGTCCTTAACTCTCAGAAATTGAATTGTTTGAAAGTTGTGAGTGAAGACAAAAGTGGCACTTGTCATAAACTAAATGTGAATTTAATTCAAAGGACAAGTCCTCTAGTAAAATTTGTAGAAGGGAAGTGTTTGTTAACCACAACACAAGAGCCTTTCTAAAATCGTACATAAATAGACTATGGTAGACAAAAGGAAGTCTTGTGGATATTCAAGTGTGAGTAGCCATCTGAAACTAGTGTTCCTGATTATATTGACTCTGCAATTAAGACATGTTCTTAATAATTTTCCTCCTTATGGGCTGGGAAGGTGGCTCAGTGGTAGAGCACTTGCCTTGCATGCTCAAGGCCCTGGGTTCGATTCCTCAGCAACACATAAGAAAAAAGCTGGAAGTGGCGCTGTGGCTCAAGTGGTAGAGTGCTAGCCTTGAGCTGAAGAGCTGAGGGACAGTGCCCAGGCCCAGAGTTCAGGTCCCACCACCGGACCCCCCCACTCCCCCAAAAAAATCTCAATTCTAGTCTCAAGCATGCATTAGCTGTTTAACCTCAGGCAAATCACATACCTTCCTTAGGCCTATAATATTTATCTACAAATTTGAAGACCATCACTTATCATATCCACGGTTATGTTACTTAAAAAATGCTAATTTCACATAGTATACACAAATGAGTCTAAAGAGGAATAACAAAATACCTCATAAAAGTAGCATGTTATAAAACTGTTAATTATTCTAAATAATTATAACAATATAAATTTTTATATACTGAATAAGCTTCTTACCTTGGTAACTTCTTATACAGGAACCGCTTTAGGTCCTGCAAGAGAGTATTAAAAATCTTTTTTTAATATGCCTCTCTCTGCTTTCTTAATCCTATCCCATTTTTTAGGGATGTTAAGTCACCACTCACAACTTTTCTTACTGTATTTTATCTTTCTCTGTTTTGGATGTTTACTGGTATGAATTGGAGCAAGTTAACTAACATTTTCTTCTAAGTCTCAGATTCAATATCAGTTCAATAGAGATAATCATAGAATCTACAGCATGACACTGCTGGTAAAATTTATTGAGATGTATTATTAGCTTACCTGGAAATAGGAAACACAAATTCATATTAGCTGTAAAAATTAGATTGTACTTTTCATAATGCTTTACAGTCTGTGGCTAATGTAATCACTTAAGAATATATTAAGCTTTTTCCATGTCCATAAACAGACATTTCGCCATTTTTTTAAAAGAGATAAAAGACTCTCTATGTATCCTTCATTGGCCCTGAACTACTATGTAAGCGAGGGTGACCTTATACTCTTAAGTCCTAAACCTCCCAAACACAAGCCTGAATCACTTTTTTTCAGTACTAAGTTTTGAAGTCAGGGCCTTGCACTTGCCAGGCAACTGCTCTACCACTTGAGCAACATCCCCACCCTCTACCATTATTTCTAATGGTACTAAGTTGATTAACTTTTCTAAGATACAGTTTCTTCACATGACTAAAGATCAAATGACAATGTCAACTATTTAACATGGAAGGAAAGAACCAAAACCTCTTAAATGGGCATTTCACTGGCAATCCAGGTATCAAATTTTTTTTTTTTTCCCAGCACTATATTTTTATTATCTGCAAGTAGTTATACAAAGGAATTGTCATGTTCCGGTATCAATTATGACCCCCTACTTCAAAGAATCAGAGTCTGATAGCCAATTGATAATTTCTTGTACCGCCTCTATCTTCTGCTCTCATCTTAAACACCTACATACACAAACCACTCATGCTGTTAGAAGAGGCATCTGGGTTAGGAATCATTTCAGATTGCTACCACGAACCTAATGAAGACAAATATGACCACTTGCTGAAAAAAGAAAATGATTCAGGGCATATGACCTACTGAACCACATAACGGTCAGGAAACTATTGTTTCAAATTTCCAGTGCCAAATACAGTTGTTTCTCTTCTATCCCAACCAGATTAGGAGACTGGAAGAAGAACACACTCTTGGCAACCTCAGGCACCTTCTTGGACTTCCACACCCACTGCAGACAGCAACTCCGGACCATGACAACCCACTCAGGCTTGGGTATCCCACAAAAGACCCCCGAGGAAATAACTAATGCGGGGTGGGGTGGGGGGATGGGGAGCGGGACAAGGAGTAAAAGAGAAACAGGTCTACCTCTTCCAACCCGCCTGCCCTCCCCGGCCTCTAGGGTGGGGGGTGACAACTCACATCCGCCATGACGAACCCCTTTCCCTCGCAGGATCAATCTTGCAAGCCTGGAAGAGAAACTCCCGGTGACTCTCCCCTCTCCCGCCCCCAGCCCGGTCGGCTCGGGTAGCCCAGGTCGGAGTCGGGCCGCGCGGGTTGGGTAGCCCAGGTCGGGGGGCCGGGCGTGCGGGTCGGGGGTCCGGGCCGTGGGTCGGGTAGCCCAGGTCGGGGGTCCGGGCGCGCGGGTCGGGGGTCCGGGCGCGCGGGTCGGGGGGCCGGGGCGCCGGTCGCGGGTCCGGGGCACGGGGCGGGGGGTCCGAGGCGCGCGGGTCGGGGGGCCGGGCCCAGGTCGGGGCCGGGGCGCGCGGGTCGGGGGGCCGGGGCCGGGGCGCGCGGGTCGGGGGGCCGGGGCGCGGGTCGGGGGACCGGGGCGCGGGGGTCGGGGGGGCCGGTTCGCGGGGGTCGGGGCGCGGGTCGGGGGGCCGGGGCGCGGGGATCGGGGGGGCCGGGGCGCGGGTCGGGGGGCCGGGGCGCGGGTCGGGGAGCCGGGGCGCGGGGGGTCGGGGGGCCGGTTCGCGGGGGTCGGGGCGCGGGTCGGGGGGCCGGTTCGCGGGGGGTCGGGGGGCTGGGCCGCGCGGGTCGGGGGCCCGGGAGGGGGTCAGGGGGTCGGGCCGCGGGGGCTGGTTCGCGGGGGTCGGGGCGCGCGGGTCGGGGCGCGGGGGTCAGGGGGCCGGGGCGCGGGTCGGGGGACGGGGCGCGGGTCGGGGGGCCGGTTCGCGGGGGTCGGGGCGCGGGTCCGGGGTCGGGGCGCGGGTCAGGGGGCCGGTTCACGGGGGTCGGGGCGCGGGTCGGGGGGCCGGGAGGGGGTCAGGGGGCCGGGCCGCGGGTCGGGGGTTCGAGGGGGCGGGTCGGGGGCCGGGGCGCGGGTCGGGGGTTCGGGGGGGCGGGTCGGGGGGCCGGGAGGGGGTCGGGGGGCCGGGAGGGGGTCAGGGGGGTCGGGCCGCGGGTCGGGGGTTCGGGGCGCGGGTCGGGGGGCGGGTCGGGGGTCGGGGCGCGGGGGTCAGGGGGCCGGGGCGCGGGTCGGGGGCCGGGGCGCGGGTCGGGGGGGCCGGTTCGCGGGGGTCGGGGCGCGGGTCCGGGGTCGGGGCGCGGGTCAGGGGGCCGGTTCACGGGGGTCGGGGCGCGGGTCGGGGGGCCGGGAGGGGGTCGGGGGGGCCGGGAGGGGGTCAGGGGGTCGGGCCGCGGGTCGGGGGTTCGGGGCGCGGGTCGGGGGGCGGGTCGGGGGTCGGGGCGCGGGTCGGGCCGCGGGTCGGGGGTTCGGGGCGCGGGTCGGGGGGCGGGTCGGGGGTCGGGCCGCGGGTCGGGGGCCGGGCCGCGGGTCGGGGGTTCGGGGCGCGGGTCGGGGGTCGGGCCGCGGGTCGGGGGTCGGGGCGCGGGTCGGGGCGCGGGTCGGGGGTCGGGCCGCGGGTCGGGGGTTCGGGGCGCGGGTCGGGGGTCGGGCCGCGGGTCGGGGGTCGGGCCGCGGGTCGGGGGTCGGGCCGCGGGTCGGGGGTCGGGCCGCGGGTCGGGGGTCGGGCCGCGGGTCGGGGGTCGGGCCGCGGGTCGGGGGTCGGGCCGCGGGTCGGGGGTTCGGGGCGCGGGTCGGGGCCCGGGCCAGGGAGCGGGAGGAACCGGCGTTCCTCAGCCCGGCGGTGGCCGGCCGGGCCCGCTCACTCCACCGCGGCAGCCCAGCCGCCGCCCCCAGCGGTCCAGGCCTAAAGCGGGGCGGTGCGGCGGCCTCCGCTCGTCCAACTCCCACCCCCGGGCCTGGCCACCAGGCGAGGGGGCGCCGCTTACCTGGGGGTCTAGCCACGGGAATATCGCCACCGTACTGGAAGTCAAGGCGAATCCCCGGCAGGCTGCTGTCACATGACTTGTGACCCCCTCGGTCGGCGCCCCCGGAAGCATTTGTTACGCTTTCACGGCCAAGCGACTAGAACTTCCGGAGAAACCCCGCGAAGGAACTGCGAGCGCGCGCGACGGCTCGGAACGCCCCGCCCCTTCCGGGCGGAGGCGGGCTGCTGTTTGCGCCTGCGCGCCGCAGTCTGGAGGAAGCGCGCGGGGTTGCTCTCCTCTGGATTTCGCCCGAGTCGCCGCTACGGTTGGTGCTGCAGGGCATCATGGTTGGCACGAAGAAGATGCACGCGTGTCACTTGTTTTCCTGAGCCTTTATCTTAACATCTTTTTGTGTGTATCGGTCCCGGGTCTTGAACTCAGGGCCTGGGCACTGTCCCTGAGCTTTTTGTGCTCAAGGCTAGCGCTCTACCACTTGAACCACAGCCCCACGTCGGCCTTGTGTCTGCATGTGTGTATGTGTGTGTGCATGTGTGTGTGTATGTGTGTGTGTGCATGTGTGTGTATGTGTGTGTGGGGAAACTTAATGGGAGATGAGTGCCTCACGGACTTTTCTGCCCGGGCTGGCTTCGAACCCTGATCGTCTTACCTCAGTCTCCTGAGTAGTTAGGATTACAGGCGTGAGCCACCTGTGTCTGGCCTAAAACCTTTCCTTGCTGTTGAAACTTGGAGGTTTAATATTGAAAAACTGAAGAGCATGCACCAGATTGCTTGTAACCAGAAGCCCCAGGTTCCTAGGTGTTCCAGTCTCTTGACTTGCCCACGGGTGTCCCTGTTCCTGCTCTTTCCTCAAAGCGTTCTCTAGATTGTGGGCAGATTCCCTGGCTCTTGACTGCGGCTGAACCTCCTAAAGACTGCCGCCTTTGTGTTTTGTTTGGTGCCTTGGTTATTAGGCTTACAAAACTAGTAGGATTAGAAAACTTAAGTCAAAGGGAGGAGTCTCCAATCGCCTGGAGTGTGGATCTGTGAAGGACTCAATTCTGTGGAGCCTGCACAGTGCACCACAAGATATTTAACCACATCCCTGGCCTCCCCACTCCCTAGATTTCGGTGGCAAACTCCATGTGGCACCAGAGATCACCTGGGATGGCAAAGTCACACACCAATGGAGGATGCCTTAGTCTCTCCTAGAGAAATGAAAGTTTATGACTTTAGTTGACTTTCTCATTTCCATGAAATTTTTTGTTATGACCACCAGCCTAGCAAACTCTGCCTGAAATATTTTAAGGTGTTCATTTTACTCCGACTTACCTGCTCTTTGAGGTTTCATCTTGAAGCTCATTTTCTCAGAGAAACCTTCCTCGACTCTTGCAGACTTACTTAGGTCTGCCTGGATCCATGATCTCATACTCTTATCACATTTATCAAGATTGTAACTATTATTTTCTTTGCTATGTAAACTCCATAGGTTGCAAAAAATCTTATTTAGTTATTTAATTCCTAGCACCTAGTTCATTACCTAGGATATATATAAGGCATCCGTAGTTTTTTTTTGAGTAGTTGAATAAAAAGAGTATAAAGTGGGGATGTGGACAGAAAGGAACCTTATTTCATTGTTGGTGGGAATGTAAACTTGTTCAACCACTTTGGAAAGCAGTATGGAGGTTCCTCAAAAGACTTCACATAGAACTCCCCTATGACCCAGCAATCCCACTTTTGGGCATTTACCCTAATGTTTACAAAAAAGACCACACTAAAGCTACCAGCACAACTATGTTTATTGCAGCATTATTTACCATAGCTAAGATATGGAACCAACCCAGATGCCCCTCAGTAGATGAATGGATCAAGAAAATGTGGTATATATACACAATGGAATTCTATGCCTCCATCAGAAAGAATGACATTTCCCCATTTGTTAGGAAATGGAAAGGCTTGGAAAAAATTATATTAAGTGAAGTAAGCCAGGCCCAAAGAAACATAGGTCCCATGGTTTCCCTTATTTGCAATATCTAGTATAGGTATGAGTCAAGCAGAAAAGGTCAGATAATGTGATGTTAGGAAAACAAACCCTTAAATATGTATTTTAATCTTTTTGTTTCTAACGCATTTATAAGATTATTTCTTTGTTGCTTTGTATGTCCCTCCCCCACAGTGTAACCCCCCCCCTCCCCCGCTTTCACTATATTTGATGTCAGTATAACATGTGGAGGAGATGGGGACAAACAAGTCGTTTAAGGATTCAGGTGGACCTGTTGCAACAATGAGAAGTACAAAATGTCATGTCAAAACCAGCTTTACAATGTCGGTGTGGGGGGGGGAGGGGGGAGGCTGGGAAGGGATGTGAAGGGTAAACAAAGGAGGAGGCTGCAATGCTTGGTAAGAAATGTATGCATTATCCTGACCATGTAATTGTAACCCCTCTGTACAGTATGTTCTCAAATAAAATAAAATAAAATTTAAAAAAAAAAATAAAGAGTATAAAGTATAAAATATGATAGACAAATCTTATGATGAGAACAAAGCTGTTTTATTAATATATCGAGATAATCTACAGACTGAAAGACAAAAATTCATAAATCATTCATTAGAACATTCATTAAAAATCAAATGCATTTCCATTAAGAGTTCACAGAAAATTTTATTTTATGTAAGTCTGCTATAACCTTAAATATTTTATAAATCAGACACTTTATTTTTAAACCTAATTATATAATCTTTAATGCACTATAGACAAAGTAATATCTCTTTCATCAGTTTAACTTTTACAAGGCTTCCATTAAAGTCCCATCACACCTTGAAAATTACCTGTAGCTTTTTAAAACATAAATATTCAACTTTAAATGGAGAGTTTACACAATCTAAACTAAAAGCAAAGCAAAAAAGCACTTAACATAAATACAAAACATCAATTATGTTTCTTCTTATAGTCAGCCAACTTAAAAAGTTCATTTCAAAAGTAATGACTAAAAATTTCTCAGTGTTGCTGAAAAATCTCACTATTCTAGTGGTATCTTTAGATGGCAAAGCCGAGTATCAGTATATAGAAAGTGCAGTCTTGTGCTGAAGTGACTGACTTGCTCTATCCATGCCAGGTGTCATCTGCTATGTAAATTACCAGACAGTTTAGCAACCAGTCACCCCCAATTTTAACAGCTTATTAAACATTTCAAGAAACACATATCCTTACATATTTCCAGATTGCTAGATTGAAAATGATACAATTATATGTCAAGATGGGCCTTCTAGTCGGAATATCTGCATTAAAGCATGAAAAAAAAAGCAACAAAGAATTCACACCAATAAAATTCTTTAAACCGATTTCAAATTCAGAAAAATACCCACAGCTAATAACTAATGGAAGCCCTGCTCTGTGCAAATACAGTAGTATATATTAAACAATCACACATCTGAGGTATTAGCTGGAAAAAATATATATACACTTATACATGGACACATCACAGAATATTCACAAATCTATTGGCCCCTACACCAGCAGATAAAAGGAATCACATAACAGGAAAAAGTTACACAAGGGGAAATTTACAAAAGAAATATGGTCACATAATCCTTAATATAAGGAGTATGTTTTAAATTAATGTTTTGAGGAAAGATGTTTCCATTTATATGGAAGAATCTATTTAATAATAATGAAACCAAAAAAATCTACTTTAGGACCGTATCACCTGCCAGTCTGTTAAAGGAGTGTGCAAGAATTCCTTGAGAGCCTCACTCTCCCACTTTGTTTAGCATAGTTCTGGGCACTGAACCCACCACCTCACGTGTGCTAGGCTGTACCACCAGAGCTATGCCTTCAGCCCTGTTTTTTGTTATTTTTGTACAGAGTCTTGCTATTTATCAGGCTGGAGTCAAACTCACATCTGCCTGAGCCTCCCAGGTGCTGAGATTATAAATGTCTTACTACCATGCCCAGATTCTGTCTACTTTTTAGTTGTTTGTGAAAGTTTGGAGGTACTTGTCAAGACTTCTTTTGTTTTTTACCAGTCTTTAGGAATTTTGTGAACTTTAGATAGTACAATGTGGCCACTGGAGGTTTTAGCCATTTTTTGAAGACTAAAATTCATATTTATCGTTTATTTTCATTAGTTCTGCTCAGATAATCCTGTTCGTTGCTTCAGGCAGTAGGAAGAGGGACAGTAATACAGGTCGCACTGAACCCAAGCTCCGGGAGATGCTAAATAAATGTACACATTTTCCTCTTTTAACCATTGGTCCTATGTGATAATACTTGTTTAACGAACAAGATGGCTCATTTGGTTCTCAGGTCTTCACTGCTTTAAAAAGGCAGTCAATTTAAAAAAAAAATGAAATAGGAATACAGTAAGTAACATTAGCACGTCACATGTTAAAAAGCTGCATTTTAAAATATTGAGCATATAAGGGAAATCACATCTTTTTTTTCTCTTTATTTTATAGATTAGTGGAAAAAGTTGAACAGGAAGAAAAAATTAAGCATGAAAGTGCAATTAAAGTTAAAGGCTGGCATTCCACATTCCTGTTCTTGTGAACACCTGAGTTGACACAGAAGCAGAGTAACTGAATACCCTGGCAGACATATACCTAAGGACAGCACTTTCTGCTACCAAAGCTTTGCAAATCACACACAGAAGTATGCAATGGTTTGACTCACTTAGGCACTCAAATGCAACCAGTTCCCAAAAGATGGTTTTCCACTTAGATCAGTAATAAATGAATAACTTGAAATTGCTCATTACCGAAGATTCAATTATTTTATTTGATCAAATTTGAAAATGTGCAAATGATTGACTACTGACTACTAGTCTATCTGGGAACAAAGAAATCAAAAGATGAGGAGAAAAGGTACTATTGCTTTTCCCCCTTATAGAAATAATAATAGTGTTGTGCGATGTGTAGTATATTTATTGTACATTGTGGTATGTGTTGTGTGTATTGTTGTGTATGTGCATGGGGATAAAAATATAATGCATTAATGAACAGAACTGCTGCCAAACTTACAAAATACAAGTTAGAGAACTAGGTTAATAAGCTAAGTCAAGGGCTTTGAGCCGTGATTAAACAAATGAAACTTCAAAGCTCACGTAGCTGAAAATAA